AGAAGCACTTTCGCAGTCGCTTCCTTTTGCAACGTCAGCGGCCTGCTAATGGGCGGCGTTATTTTGGTCGTAGCAAGCTGTACCGAAAGCCGCGATTGTTGGAGAGGCAGAGTCAATAACTTCTGCATTCTGGAGCTGCTCGCAGGATGGACACAGCACAGGCTGACCAAATCCTTCGTCGCCTTGTGGCATGCCACACCAAAGATGCATACGTGCCGAACATATCGGGCATGCGTGCTTAGGGCCCACGTCCTCGTGGCAGCCGCCACACGGTAGCTCGCTCATTGTGCTTTAATTCTCAAGTTTGCCAACCACAGTTTTAGGGCACTAATTTTGGGTGTCGCTATTTTGAGTTTTAACTAATGTGTGATTCACACGTGAATTAGTGTCCACGACACTAATTGAGGCGCGACACTAATTCTGAACGGACACTGAATACGGTGAGCACTGTAGCGTCAGCATTTCTCCACACACTAGTGTCAAATTTAGGGTATGTGATTGTCAACGTCACACTCATTTTTCCAACATAAATTTTAATTCGTGTCTCTCCTTTTTCTCCTATAAGCGTTAGTTTGCGCTAAAATTTTGACGTTATATCAGAAACACGCAATGCCTCGACCATAACTCTGACTCACAGTGAAGAACGCTTCCCATTATCACCTCGGCAATTGCATTGTAAACTGCAATTATTTAACATACATGCAGCGGTAGGGCATCGTTCTCAAGCTCACCTCGGCAAGTTCGCTATGCTACACACAAAGTTCTGTACTTGCCTCATAGCTTTGCGCTGCGCTTATAACTTGGACCAATTTTTTGCATAAGGGTCCCTCGATGTTGCTATAAGTAATTATATGTAGATGATCTCCGCCTTATCGAAGTGTCTTAAGCACATTACTCTGAAGAAAGAAGAAATATGAACGCGAGCCAGAACGTGCACATGAAGGATGTTAGACCATATAGGTATAGAAAATACTTTAAAAGTAGAAGTGATATTTGTTGAACTTCCCACAAACAATGTTTCTCACGCTCTCTACCATACAACCACTTTATAAACCGATTGTGGCTGCATCTTCCTGCCGAGAGTGGTCGGCCGAACTTCGTCAAACTCTCACCACCTTGCATTTTTGCCAATACCCCTCCTCGGTCGTCGCACACTCGCCCACACTCAATGTCTACAGCAAATTGAACAGCTTTCGTAGTTCTGCAATCCTTGGCGCCGCCAATAATTTTGTCAGCAAGTCCGCCATCATAATGCTCGATTCCACAAAAATTGGTTTTACGATTTCCTTTCTCGCATAATCGCATTTAAACTTCATCGCACATCAATGTGCTTGACACTCGACATACTTCCTTCAGTCTCCATCTGTCTGACAGCAGCCTGGTTGTTAATGAGCATTGAAATTGGGGCCTTCACTTTAGCAGCGTGGTTGTTCATGAGCATTGACATTGGGGCCTTCACTTGAAGTCCAATCTCACGCATTAGCTCCCTCAGTCCTAGCAATTCTCGCCCAACGTGCGAGGCCGACGCAAACTCCGCCTCCATTGTCGATAGCGACACCCCGGTCTGCTAATTGCACACCCACTGCACAATAGCACCTTCCATCGTTAAAACTCCGCCTGTGACAGACTTTCGGTCCACCTTATCAGCCGCATAGTCCGAGTCGCTTCGCCTCGCCAAATTGATCTTGTTTCCTTCATTTCTTGAAACAATTATCTTGAGGTTATCGGTCTCTTATAAGTATTTTGCTACTCTCTTTGTCAGCTTCCAGCCACTCATAGTAGGCTGATGAGTGCGCCGCGTGGCCTTGTGAACTGCAAAGCTGATATCCGGACGTGAACATCTTGAAATCCAAAGTAAGCTCCCCACAAGCGACTGAAAGTCGCGAATCGTTGGTTCACCTCTTTGTTTCGGTACCGTTGTCAGTAACAAAGGGTCATTTTCCACTTCATTATCTCCTTCACTGGTAGGCTCACGAACACCATTTGCCTCCTTCAAACCATGACTCACAAGCATTTCTTCAATGGTCGCTTGTTGATCCACTGTGCACGTCTTTTCGTCCTCCAAACTAACTCGCATACCGAGAAACTTGCGAACCTCGCCCAAAGCTCTGATCGATAAACATGACATCGCATCGAAATACAGCTATACCATCCTCGCACTGAACGCTGTAACTAGTAAGTCGTCCGCGTAAACGCCGAAAATATTTACATCGTCTCCCTGGCGCTTACAATGCTAGCACATATCGGTTTTACACTGCGTGAATCCAGCCTCCTCCATCCTGGTGTGTAGCAATTCGCCATACAGACGGCCCGCCTGCTTAAGCCCATAGAGAGACTTCTTCAGCTGTAGGGCTAAGTACGATTTGTCTTGTACGCCATATTGTCGTAAAATGCCATCTTGGATCTTCATCCCCTGTGGAATAGCCAAGTAGATATCCAAGTGCTCTTCTTTATCAGCCTTCACGTACGCGTTTATAATACCCCCGTGTCTCGCCGGTACTCCCCAACGCAACGCAAGCACAAGAAACACCTTCGCCGTGCTCAACTCCATAGCAGCAGCAAACGTAAGACCATAGTCAACGCCATACACCTGCTCATTTCCACAGGCAAGCAATCTCGCCTTGAATCGCTGAATAGCTCCATCAGCGTCCGTTTTGGTCTTATAGACCCATTTTGTTTGCAGCACGTGACTTTATTTGGTGGCACTACGAGCAACCAAACTCTGTTGTCTTCAAGCGCTTGTAGCTCTTCCGACATTGCAGTAAGCCACTTTCCCTATGCTCACTCTTCATGCCTTGCCCATAATTCTTTGGGTCCGCCTCCCGCACGCTATTAATCTCTTCACCAGGCTGGTTACTTTCTTCATCGTTTCTGCGTGTCTTTTGCGCCTCCGTCCTGGCCATGTGAGCATCGCGCGTCCAGGTTTTTCTTTGTCCTCGTCTATTGCTTTTTTCTCTTGGAACCGGTATTGGGTTATTCATCGACGCATAACCGCCACGCTCGCCAATTTCTCCGACTTCCACCGTTGGATGCACACGACGTAATTGCGCATTCTGCTCCTTGGTCAGTGTCTCCACGTTTAGAACGTGCTGTGTGACGATAACGGTCTTCTCCCTTAGCAGATAAACCATGTAGCCCTTCATATCATCGCTCTTGTCGATGATGATGCCTTAAATTCCACGCTACCCCAGCGACTTGTTACTCGCATCTCTATGGACCGTGCATGGCGAGCCAAAATCACTATGTCGCTCAAGTCTGGGATGCTCTTCGTAAGCATTTGAAATGGTGACTGTCTTCCCATATTCGCTTTGCTCGGGCTCCGGTTAAGAATATACACCGCATATTCCGCGGCGTCTTTCCGGAAATTTAGCGGTAATCCACAAGAAAAAAGCATGCTCCGCACCATGTTCATAATGGTGCGGTGCATTTGCTCCGCTTTTCCGTTACTTGCTTGATTACGTGGCTCGCTCACCTGACGCGCAATGCCAGTGTCCTTGCATAATAGATCCAAAGTCTTGTATTCTCCTCCACCTTCCGTCCTTAAAACGTGATTAAGACAATTGAATTGTCGCTCAAAAAAGCCTATGAAGTGCTTGAACTTCTGAGCTGCGACATTCTTGGACTTGGCCAAGAAAACGCGACAGTAGTTTGTCCGGTGATTGATGAAATTCACCATGTAGCGGTTGCCCAACCTGTCCCGTGGGGTCATCGGTCCCTTCAAGTCGGAGCATATAACTCCTTCAATCACGTCGATCGGTGCGTTTTTTTCAGTGACCTTTCGAGACTGCGGGTTCTTGGTTTGTTTCCCTTGGGCGCAAGCCAAGCAGTTTGCCCGCAGCTCATCCGTTAGCTATATTTCTGATGCGGGATGCTTGGACATCCTAACTACAGTGTCGTAATTAAGATGCGCAAGGCGTTTATGAAAGTGCATCAGCGATCCTTCCTGCGCATCTTGTCCGACGTCCCCATCGTGTTGTACAAGTGCTGACATCAGCACGTCACTTCTTTTCGTAACTAATTCGCATTTTTGTGCACGCAAGACCAACACGTTATTGTGTATTCCCACGTCGAAAACAGCTGGCTTTTCGTCCAATGCGGCTACCACACGGTACTCGCCCCGGTATGAAATACCACATCCTTTACTCTCCAATAGTCCATACGAACTAATGTTTCTCTCGAGGTTTTTTGCGAAGTAAACATCCGTCAAGCGCACTTTGGTTCTTTTACCCAGTACTGTCGTAGCAATAGTCGCACTTCCACGCATCGTTATGCGCAGGTGTCCACCATCCGCAGCGACGCACTTGCTGATGTGTTTCTCAAGTTCTTCCAGTAATGAAGCGTCATTAACTAGGTGTCGACTCGATCCGCTACCGAGGAACCAGTAATCTTCCTTGACACTTGATCCGCCTATGGCCAGAGCGAAGTCCACATCATCCGTCGCTCTTGTCTCAGCACTGCCCGCGGGGCACGCTATCTTCAAATGTCCTGGTTTCCACATTTGTAGCACGTGCGCATATCTCGACGGTCCTTGCGATTGTGCGTTCGGGTCTTGGGATAGGCTCGGCGTCCATTTTCGACGGTATTGACCACGTCCTTTCCAATATTCTTCCCGCGCAGTTCGATCTCGGTCGACTGTGCGAAGTGCGCAAGCTCTTCCGCCTGCCGCAAATAGTCTATGCGCGTGAGGTTTAACCTCGCCAACATCGACACCCTCATACTGGGGTCGGCGTAATGCACAATGTTGTCTTGAACTAGGTTGTCGGCACCTCCACACGCTTCACTCACCGCCACCAAATACAGGTAATGATCCATCTAGCTTCGCTTGTAATTCTTGGGAGCTGTAAAAATCTTCATACTTTGTGCGGGAGTTATCTTGGTCGCAAACGTATGGAGTAGACGCTGCATCGCATGCTCTAGCGTCGGCTGTTCTTCAAATTACCCCTCGACCTGTTGGTTGTAAAATCGTTCGGCCATACCGGTCAAGTGGTGCCCTAGCACGTCTACCTTGACGTCTTAACTCCACTGGAAACCACTTGCTCGCTCCGCGAACTTGATCTGCCTTACAAATCTCTTGCCCACAATAAAACCCCACTTCCGAGACCTTGATACAATTCCTTGCCATCAAAAGGTTGGATGCCCAGCTTCCTCTGTCGCGTATCCGGCACACGATTGTATTATAATCCTGGTGCCATGTGTGGTGGGGGCGCCGGCTGGTACATGGGTGGTGGCACGTATTGCTGAGGCAGTACTGGTTGCGGCGCTTGCGCCATCTCAACTTTGGCCGCTGCACCAGCGTATCCAGGCTGTCTTGCACCAAAGTACGTTGATGGCGATACGCCGGGTGACACACGCCTCGGTGGCGACACATCCAACGCCTCTCTGGTCATTGCTTTGCCTTGCCCCAACACCGAACCAAAAACGCTGGACTCATGGCCCTTCAAGCGCTCATTCTCCTCCGATCGCCCTCGCGACGCCTCCATGCGCTCCGTGAGGCCCGTGAGAAGGTCCAGCAGCTTGCCCTGCGTGTTCCTTGGTTCTTCCTTGACCTCTTCTTTCTCCTCCAGGGCGCCAGCCCTTTCGCGACCGGCATCTGCCCTGCGCTGCTGACGACCTTCAGCCGCAGCAACTTCTTCGCCATTTGGGCTCATAAGTTGTTAGACTTTATAGGTATAGAGGATGCTTTGAAACTGGAAGTGATCTTTGTTTGAACGTCCTACAAACAATGTTTCTTACGCTCTCTACCATACAACCACTTTATAAACCGATTGTGGCTGCATCTTCCTGCCGAGAGTGGTCGGCCGAACTTCGTCAAACTCTCACCATCTTGCAGATTCGCCAATAAAGGAACGAGGGTTGATAGAGCTCCTCGCATGTGTCGTTTAAACAACTGCCGCCAGTATAAATGCAAACGCAAGGTGACCATCATCAATTTCAAGCGGGGACAATAATGGGTAAGTGATCAGAATAGGATAAAAAAGTTAACGTGATCCAAACTTTGTTAGACCGGTTTATGTCGGTATTTGTCGGTATCCCTCTAAAAGCGATTGAGCGCGGGTCAATTCTGTTTAGCAGAGACGCACGCACTGCATCACTGTTCGTCCGCTGCCACCCGCTGCTATGTCGACTGCAAACCAAGTGACGCGTACTACGATTCAGGTCCGCGCACATACTGCTGGTTGATCAGTATAGGCTGTATCAGCTGCTTAGCTCCATACTTTACCCACGTTGACGCCTTCTTGTCCAGCTGTATCGCGACTGCATGCGTCTGGCCAAACACATTGGCGGCACGGTAACTTCTTTCTATCGTTTCTCCTTCTGCACTGCTGGTGATGCTAGTAGGTGTCTTGCACGTCGAGAGCTACTAACAGTGACGATTATTGCACGACGTGTGGCGTGTCGCAACGTGGCAGAGCAAGAAGGGGCAGGCCATCAAGGAGCTCGTGCGTCGAGAGTTTGACAAGGGCCGCAGCGAGACGGACCCGGAGAAGATTGAGGCGCTAAAAGCCAAGTACGTTGCAGTGCGTCGAGGTCTGTGCTGCATCGCTGCTAACACACTCGATGTCTCGTCGTGTACTGTCGGTGCTGCTCGTTACTCTTTTCCGCTGCGTAGCGCTATTCGAGGGCTGAGCAACTACCTCATGTTGGCCAATTCGAGCAAAGACCAGCGCCTGCACGACGCCATGAACAAAAAGTCGCCGCTGACAGCCGAGTACCGAGACGTATGAGTGCATGGGCACGTCAGGCGGTACAAAAGTCGATCATGTGAATACGATGATTTTGTCCATGTCAATTCGTCGGATGTCTGTCGTACACATTTCTTTAAATCGTACGCTTACTCACTACAAAAAATAAGTCCGCGAAACAGTCACAAAACCGCGTCGCAAATAGGACCAAATCACCAATTCCACACAAACTTCGTCGCCATGAGTCGCCGAGCGCTGGCCCGGAAGGCTGCGGGCGCCAAGGCCGTGGCCCCCCACAGCCTCTCTCAAGACGCGGCCGGTATCGAGAACGTGACAAAGAAGCTGCAGCTACAGCTGAAGACAGGCGACTATTACGGCGCGTTGCAGCTGTACAAGACGCTGTTTATGCGGTATCTGAAGGTGGACGACCCCAGTGTCGAGCAGCAGGAGAAGGCAGCGGCGCTGGCGCTCGACGCAGCGCTTGTGCTGCTCGAGCACGACGAGAACACGGCAGCGGTCGAGATGGCCAACCTCATGATCTCGGTTTTTGTCGACTTTGACCATGACGTGGACGACCGCCACAAGCAAAGCGTGCGCCAGATCGCGTCTGCCTTTGAGCAGAAGCCGCAGTTTAGTGCCGATGCGACAGGGTTCCTGAAGAACGCAGTCAAGTGGTCGGCTGTCAAAGGAGCGAGGAAACGTGGAGATCCAGAGCTGCAGCTGCTGCTAGCGCGAGCCTATTGCATGACAGGGGACTTTCCACACGCAATGAAACACTTTCTGCACGCTGAGACGCCGGAAGAGCTGGCCGATGCGCTATTTCAGTGGTCGAAAACGGGGTATCCGAGTGAATCCGACTTGTACCTTGCTCGAGCTGTGCTGCAGTAAGGAGGCGTTGGATGGTCGTAGTATCGTTGTGGAGATGTGAAAGTGATGCTGTGATTGCGCTGGATGTGCGCTACGATGTTGCGATTAAACAGGTTGCTAAGCCTGGAGAATCTGCGTGACGCCAACAAAGTGTATGAAGCGTATGTGGCCAAGTGCGAACATGCGGGACGCGCCGTTGACTTGCCACTGATCAACTTTACGCGGTTCTTGCTGCTGACGCTCGAGGTGAGACCGCGATCGCACGAGTTGCCGAAGCTGGCGAGTACGCGTGATGCTTATGCTGCTTCGCTTGCTCTCTTTGATGTTGGTTTTTCTGCTAGCGCGATGCACTCCCGCTCTTCCAAATGCTCCAAGAGCGTTACGCGCTAGCGCTCGCTCGTGACAGTAGTCTCAAGAGCGTACGGACGAACTTATGTTGTAGAAGTCGCAAATTGTGGTTGAGTGTGGTCTAATTTGTGTATGTTTTTGCTTGACTGTCGTAGTATTTAGGCATCATCGGTCAGAGGTTTTACGGACTTCAGCCTCCGCGGTCAGGACTCAGCTCTCTCCTTGAGATGTTTTCTGGTGGTGGGGTGCAGTAACATGCACGAGAACCGTAACAATGAGCAGATGATTGCGAAGTAGGATGCAGAGTCGCCACCTCTGTATCATTTATATCATGGTTCGGACAGCCTCGTAAATAAAGAGCATGCGTGAACATCGATCCGGGCTATGAGTTTGCTTGTCGATTCCAGACGGTTTTTGCGAGGAACGCTTGCTTCCTAAAACTTATCGGGACACGTCAATTGTATCAGTCAACAATGCGTGCTTGTTTCTCATTTTCAACCCTCTACAAATGCCGTCATGCAATCCATGGATCGGCCATGTAGAAATGCGGCTCTTTGTCTGGTTTGCCCACCCACAATGGAATGGCAGTGTGGGAACAGCCAGCGACAAGGCAAAACTCTTTATATTCAGACACCTTCGATCCATCATACGCTCTAGCTCTTGTCTCCCGCCGTCGCTGATCTGTTCTTCTGCTTCTTGGCCTTCTTCCTGAGCTGCTGATGTGACTTCCGCTTGAGATTTTCGACCAGAGCATTCAACGCGTGTTTGCCGCTGACGCAACTTGCATCATTTACGCCAGAATCAGTAGGCTCGGCCCCAATGGCATCCGTGTCGTAACGTTGCCGCCGTTCCTTAAAGATAGCCTGAGTGGCCTCTGTCTTTTTGTACTTCGGGTCCGTCGGATCAAGTTGGAACTGCGAGCCCTTAGCGTAGAGCGCACCGAAACGCGGGTCGGCCGCGTCAAACTCGAAACCCTCCTGCAAATCGCCACTCGCTCGTTTCTTCACCAGCTTCTTCATCTCCTTGACGCGGCGCTTACCCTTCAAAGACTTGACCTTCTCTTGCTTGGCAATCATCTTCATGTCAAAGTTGCGCTCGTCCTCGTCGCTATCGCCGCTGTCGCAATCGCTGTTCTTGCCACCACCATTGATAGCCTCGCGCAGCAAGTTCACCTCCTTCGCACCACGACCCTTATTCTTGAGCACTTCACGCTGCTCACGCTCCAGCTGTTTCTGCCGTGTCCGCTTCTCGTGCAACTTGCGGTTTTTCTCCTGTTTCTTCTCACGTGTGTACCGTTCGAACGGCGTCTCGGTCGCCTCAAGCTCCCTCTGCCGCTTTGACTTCAGGACATCGCCCGCACCCGGCGTAAACGACATCTCCATATCACCCTCGTCACCAGCTCCATCTTCGTCGTCAGTGCTTCCCCCCGTATGGCCTTCGACTACATCACCGTCGTCGTCCTCCTCCGCGTCGCTACCGAGCAGCATCGATCGGTAACGATTCCGCAGCTTTTTTATTTTGACCTCCTTCTTCGACTTCTTCTTGCTGTCCAAATCGCTGACATCGGTCTTGCTCTTTGCCTCATTCTCCTCATCACTATCTTCGCTACCAGTCTCAACTTCCGATGCGTCCGACACGTCAGATGCGAGGTACGCCCTAAAGTCATCATCATCGGCATCCTTCCAGTCAGCGGGACGTGTCAGCAACTCGAGACGCTGATCATCATCTTCTTCCCATGTGAGCTTCACATCCGTTTGCTGGAGCGCTAGCGTGGCAAAGATAGCTGGCTTGTACCGGTCAGGCACGCCCTCACACGACTCTTTGGGTGTGTTGGTGAACGTCGTGTCATCTGGTACGTAGCGGAGGTCAAGAACGTTAGACGAGGTCTCGTACTCTAGCTGGTCGCACTGGTCGAAGATTGCGCTAGCCGTCTTCACTGAATCACAAGTCACAATAGCATAGTAATACCGCAGCTTCTGCAGTTCATACTTGCGCAGCTTTTCGCGGTCGAAACCGTCCGACTCATCTTCTAGTGTCACGCTCTTCTTTATGCCAAGCGGGTCATCGGAGTCATAGCCCTCCTCTTCGTCATCGCCGCAATCGCCGTCTCTATCCTTACTAGCAATCGCCTCCTCGTTGTCACCATCGGTCGGATCATCGTCATTTTCCTGCTTCTCCTCGTTTAACTGGTTGTTGACGTCATGATCCCATAGGTTCTGTGGTCCATGCTGCTCTTCTTCTTTCTGCAAACGCATCACACAATTGTTAGCCTGCCTCCGCTTCATCATTTCGGATCACCACACGTGCACATACAAGCTTCTGAAGACCGTAGTCTGAAGGATAGATAGTCACGTTCTGTACGGCGCCTGTAGCAGGTGCAAACGAGTTGCAGAGTGCAAACAAATCCACAGCACGGATACGCGTCCAGTCACAGTTGAGCACAGCAAAACGTCTAGTTTCTTCGCCCATGGGAATTTCCTCTTCTTCCTCTTGCACATCAGCTTCCACCTCGTCGCCGCTGCTGTCGTCCGAGTCGGAGCTGTCCGAGCCAGAGCCAAGTTCACCACGAGCCATGCGATTCAAGTAGCTGAGACGCGAGAGCTTGTCGTGGTTCTCTGCCACTATAGGATCAGACTCTTCAAGATCGTCATCAAATCTCAGTGTGGACACAGTCTTCGGCTCTCCATCGTCTGTATCGCTGTCATTCTTCTGCTCGTTTTTCTCCTCTTCTTCCTCTTCTTCTTCTCCCTCCACCTCCTTCTCCTCCAGACGATAAAACTCCTTCATCTCATTGCACCTCTTCTCGATGCGACGTCCATACTTATCGTACTTTCCCTGCGCGCTCTGGAATCGCTCGTTCGTGAGGGCCGCAGCAAACCGGCGGTCAACCTGCAGTTTGTTCTTGCGCTTCGAAGTGCGAGCGAATCTCTGCACACACAAAACGCATCAGTGTGTCAATATCCACATCCACCACCGCGCAAGACACAAGCACTCACCGGGTCATGGTGCACTTTCTGGAAGCGCTGGTCGCGCACGGGAGCGCTCATGCCGCTGCTCTGGTCGAAAAGGACTTGCTGGGCCGACTGACTGGCTGGTGGAAACGGGTGGTCTTTTCAGCCAATGGTTGTCACCCAAGCTGTCGCTGCGCTCTTTTATGCGCTAAGAACGACACATGACGCCGTCGCGTCAGTCGCCCTATCATATACCGAAAGCCTCGACACAGCGGTGGCATAAAAAGCGCGTGGTCGTAGACGACAGCACGTGCAGCCGATGCGAAGCAACTGCCAGTTGTTTGTTGCGGGCACTGCATTCATTGGCCACGTGCCTTTGCTGCTCGAGCTTCGAGTGCTTGTGAATCCGTTGCTTTGACCGGGTCACCTGTGCAGCGGGAACACTCGTGTCCTGCGTCCGCAGTGGACGCTCGACGATCATCACCACAGACTCGACGTCGGGGTAGTAGTTTGCCCACGCAATGATATACGCATTTAAAACGGATCACGGGTTTACATCTTCTCTCTCTCTCGCTTGTCGGTCACACGCTTGCAAGCACATCGTTTGACTTGCTTGTAGCGTTGACTGCTGTGTTGATGCGTCGGCCTGGTAGATGCGGCATGCACACACCCCATTTACGTCTTGTCCAACATGATCTGATGCAGCAAAAATGTATGCGTTGTTCGCCTACTAGCCAGGAATGCGCTCAGTAGCAAGACCGTCAGCTAGCTACAACTACGAGAGTAAACGACCCTAGCGTTCGGAGGAAAGTACGTACGTACGCTGTTTCCATAAGCACAATCGCAGAAACAACAGACAACCAAGGTGCAAACTTGGACCGCAGCTTCGAGGTCCGGAAGGCCAAGAATGTGAAAGTCACAACCATTATAATAGCCGTGTGTCGAGAGGTACATGTTGAAGCTACCAAAACCATCCTTGCTGTCCCTGTTGTTTTCGCTTTTCCTACAAAAGCCACCAGAGGTAAAACGCATTGGTCAGACACGGCTGCATCCGGAGACAAAATACGTAGCTGACCCCATAGCGTACCTGGATAGAAGCAACTTCGGCTGGCGTGAAGTTTAGAATAGTCGCAATGGCCTTCTCCATGTGCTCTTTCGCCTGCACCCATAAGCACCCAAAGGTAGCATCAGTGTCATCTTCGAACATAACATCCGCATACTAGCTCGCACCTCGTTTTGACTCGACGACATGTACTTGTACACTATGTTCTTCAAATACTCGTTCGTCTTCATTATGTTGGGCGTGTCAAAACCAGACAGGCTGCTGTTGGACTCCATACTTATGCGACGAGCGCGAGTTTCCCTGAAACTGTTTGTGCGGCTCGCACTGCTGCTATCATCTCCACCTTCGCGGTAGTGCGCTTGAATGCTGTTCAGCTCCTTATCTTTCTGGTCTACAGCGTTCAAAGCGCGCTTCCGGTACTCCGCAAACTCTTGTCGTAGCGCCTGTAGATCACTATTGCCTTTATCGCTCGCATTGCCAACCGCACCATTCATCACATGCCTCAGCTCCATCACTGTCTTTTCTAACTCTTGCTTCTCGAGGAGTGACTGCTCGTATCTGCAGCCAAAACGCAGCTGAATCAGCCACGCAAAGTCTCGATATGCCACGCTCATTCTACGCATAGCAATTTACCTCTCTCTCCACTCCATCGCGAGTACCGTCTCACCCATCGTCCCACTCAGCTTCTCGTAATCCTTCATCAGCCTGTCAAACTTTCGTCGCCATTCAGACTCCTGCGGAACAAAATCAAAATCACTCAGCACAAATACGCACATGCGCGACTGCAAGTTGTCAAACATATGGTACCCGCTCTTCAGCTTCTGCTTGAGCCTTCGACAGCCGGCGAACTTGAGCCTTCGATGATTGCAATTCTCCTAACAAATCAGTCTCAGAAATCTTCTCTGTCTGCTTCGCCGTCATATTTGCACTCATCTGGATCACGAGCAGCAAGTGCAGACGTTCATTTTACTTCCCAACACCTTTTCTGCAGTTTACCACTCCAGCACACCTTTCGAATTTCAGCATCCTTCTGCTTTCGCGTGATCTCCGACCGAACACGGTAACGGCGAAACTCTTCCTGGACGCGGTCGATTTCAACCTTCAATTTTTTTTTCTACAATCACACAAATAAGCATAGATTATCAGAAACGCACTTATCATTTCAACTACCAATCACAAACGACCGTACAACACACTCCACTTCCAACGGCGTCATCGAATATTCCGGCAGCGCGAGAGGCTGACCCGATGCGCGGTCAGCGTATGCCTGAATCTCTTCTGCTGAACGAAAGCAGTGCCAGGCAAACTCCTTTGACTCATCCAGCTCGTTTTCATTTGCATATTCCACAAAACACCAGATCACATTGCCGTGCGCCACTTTGAGCAGCAGCTGTTTCGGGTCTCGTGTGGACGTGTCCACAGACCACGATTGCTTCGCCTGTTGGCTCTGTCCCAGATCCATATGCAGCTTCTGGATGACTCGATCTTTTTCTGTCAGCTCTTGCTTGCTGTTGTCAATACTGCGCTTGGCCATAGCCAGTAGCCGCTTGAGCTTATTTTCCTATCCCATTGCATCATTAAGTCCCGTTACAAGATCATAGCTTACACTGCAGCGATGTCGACAGCAAAAATAGCCGTGGAGCTCACCGTTTCCTCCATCTCTTGGATTCTAGTGTTCTTCTTCGCCAGCAGCTGTTCCATGCGCGTGCTTCGCTCCTTCCAAGCCTGCAGCTGCATACGATTGTCTGCATCACCATCCGAATGTTCAGGAGAAGCCGCTTGCTGCTTCTCAGGCGTTTCCTGCGGCAGCGCTTCGACGTGTTCTTCTGGTTGAGTCTCGACGTCGTCTGGACTCGAAACGTCTTCACAACAAAGAGACACAGCGCACGTCACCCAACACAGCACAACAGAAATTGTGTATACTGATCCTCTTGCCTTCCTCCACCTCTCGCTCGATCGTTGGCGGTGACGCGGGCAGCGACGTGGCGTCGGCGGCGACGTCCATCGAGACGAGCGACTGACAATGCGCAAAATGTGGTTTCAAGCCGTTGTGGTACACCAGCTGCACACCATCTTATCAAACACCGGTGTGACGCACGGTGGTACATAAATGGCACACCACGTGTAGAGACAGAGGGTTCCGTGATGTGTCGCACGTAAATTGAGTGACCCACAGACACCTGCACCTGTAACATGGACGTCAAGACCATCGCCGCCAAGTACGGCGGGCTCCCAGCGCGTGTAATTGCGCGTGCAGAAGAGAATTGGCGCATCACGAGAGCCAAAAAGTCGTCGGGAATGGACCAATTTGCTGGACCCGTAGCGTGCATTGTAGTAGCGGCTCGCGCGCTGGACGAGCAGGTGGACAAGACCCGACTGGCTCAGTGTGCAGGGGCGAACAAACGGCTCATTGAGCCTACTGTGCGCAAAGTGGTGGACGCTGTGGGTGTCCAGACCGTCGTGAAGACGTCTCCGGCTGCGCTGTGCATCAAATTTGGCTGTGAAGCGCTTACAGAGATTGTGCATCGCGTGCTGGAGGAGTATCGCGCGTACATGGCACACGTGGCGGCATTGAACAGGAGGAAGCGGTTGAAGCAACCGATGGGTCCAGAGATAGGGACAATGAATAGCGAAGATCCAGTGTTTGCTGCTGCGTGTCTGTTTGCGGTTAGCAAGCAGGCGAAGGTGCGGAGAGACGGTTGGGAGAGATTAAGCTTGACTTGTCACTTGTTTGTTGGAGAACCTATTGCTGACAGCTACTGTCAGATGCATGTGAACCAAGACAAGCTGCTAGAAGCTGTGTGTGGCAACGCAAAAGAATTTGATGCAATTGTGTCGTCGATCGAGGTCTGTACTGGTTCTGGACAATTGCACATTTGTGCTGGTGTACATCTGCTCATATCTTCCTTGGCATTTTTTTACGTACAGGTTCAGTGCCAGTTGTCGCTAAGCGGCGCAGCAATGGATCGAAAGAAACGTCGTGTGGTGGAAGGCAAGAGGGCGTCAAAGAACTTATTGAAGCAATATCGTCTTGAGCAGATCGAAGAGGAGGAGCGTGCAAAGCGGCACAGGACTAGTTCAAATGGTGTGGTCGCCCAGACGGCGGCGCAAGAGCATATGCTCGCAAAAGTACGAGCGTCTCGTGCTAGTTTAACTGGGCAAAGTACTGGTCAGATGGACAAGAAGGTGGCGGTTGCCACTGCTGAAGAATATGCTGTGTGGAGGGCAAGCGCACTAGAGTTCATGCGCAACAAGAAGAGGCAAGAGAAGCCAGAAAGTAGCAGCAGTCAGCATTGACTTTCGCCATAGCTATGTGTTTTGGCCGCAAGTGCAGCAATTTGTGCATGACAGAAAGGTGCTCGGAAGACGAAAGAATTTGTTGCCTCGGATATTTAAACATGCGGCGGCATGTTCAATCGACTAATATAATGCAGTTGTATCTCTATCAAGCTGATTCCCAACACACTCACCACTATGCTGACTCAAGCTTCATGATCTTTGCGACGGCAGGGAACCGCTTTGTAAAAGTGTCGTCATGACCCAGGCGGAAAGTCCACTTACGTGTTTTTGGCTCCAAACTAGCAAACTCTGCATCACATACAACGTCAACAACGGAGCAGTTAGGACCATGCACAGAGCAACAATACTTGCGCATCCACCTACCAGCCAAAATGGTTTTAGCTACGTCAGCATCCACGCAGCGTTTTTCTACCAGATCCGAGCGCGATAAGCCAGCGGGTGTCGTCGCTAACTGCAAAGAAATCAAACGTCAATCGCGAGTTTCAAAGCAGCGGTACTCAGCCTCAACGTACTGCTGTAATGATTTCGTTGCGGGTGCGCACTGTGGTCTCTCCTCGGCATACCAAGGTGCTGCTTCGTCATAGCCCGCACCAAAAGATAATAGTCAGTCATTAAGGGTAATCGTTCGACAAAAAGCCCGTTCGCAGTTGCACAACGACCAACCTAGTCGGCATCAGGCGCCCCCGCACATGCACGGCTACTTCCTTGAGTGCATCCAAAAGCTCTTTCTCGCTGCGCGCGGGCAAGAGCGTTGCAAGCGTATCAAAATGCATGATCTGATCGGTTGCAAGCAGTCGCAAGACGTCCGAGTATTTTGCATCAACACCGTCAAGCAGCTGGCCGATGATGGGTTCCTTTGTTTCGTCTACTTTCTCCTCGACGTCGTCATTTGCCCTGTTCAGCAAAATAAAAGATGAGCCGTGCAAATCATGCACATCTGTCAATAGAGTGACACGTACTGCGCCGAGGTGCTCGTAGCTGCAGACTTATGTGCAGAGCTCATCGCACGGTACTGCATCGCCTGGATATACTCATCTGGCGTCATCGTTGACATCACTTCCTCTTCTCTTTCACTAAACAAGCTCTCAAACTCATTCTCCGCGCCAGCGCTCTGTCAACAACAAAATTTTGTCGTGGGCGTGCCGCAATACACTCGTTGATTAACCACTATTCTTCTGATAACAAACCGCATTCTTTTTACTTGGCAACGTACATTTTTGTCCTGCACCTGGAGCTCAATCCAGCTCTCGGCGTCAACCTGCTGTTTCTTGTACGCATATGAGTTCTGGATCGCTGAGATTGCGCGCTCCGACTGTTTCTTCTTGAACTGAAACTGCACCTCCTTCAGCTCCGCTGGCGGCGGCTCGACCTTCTCTTCTACATCTATGTCTTCCTCCTCTGCGTCCACCGCATCATCAATGTGCCCAAGACTGGGTCGCATCTGCATGACCGAAGTCAGAGGCGTGAGATGCAGCTGTCCTTGTCGGAAAACGCCCACAACGTAGTTCGTGAGCGTCGGAATGTTAGACGACTGCATCCGCAGTTGCTTTTGCTTCAGATAGTCCTCTGCGTCCTGGTCGTAGTGCTCCGAGCGCTGGTCCACCGGAAAGTCGAGCTGCATCATCTGATTCCGAGGCTTCATGCGCGCAGCCTTTGGGGGATCTGGCACTGGCCGGTACGTTGGACGTAGCGGGAATTGTACCATGTGGCTGCTCGTTCCAAAAGAGTCAGCTCGTTAGTCGAAAGCACCACCCAACGACGTGCAGACTGCAGCAGACACTGCCGTCGAGCGCACCGTCACTCAGTGCGCAGGTGTCGTGGACGTACAGATTGTGGCGCAGCTGATCGGCAAGATGCACGGGGATCTCACGCACAACGGGGTCGCCGTCCTCCTCCTCTCGGCGCGCGCTGCTGCTGCTGCTCATCGTCGCGAGCACTCTTGTCGTCCAGTCGCTATTCGTGCGAGTGCTCGAGATGTCAGTAGTGACGGGGCATACGTCCTGCACCCATTCCCCCGTGATAGTGCCATCGCTCGCGCCACCCGCATGGATTATCCTATCAATCCGAAGAATGAGTGCGACGCTCTCGTCCATTCCGCGCGTCATTGACAAGTACGTGCACTGCCGATTGTCGCCGGGATGGTTCCCAGTCACTGGCATAGCATCGCGCAGAGTCGTGCCGCGTCGTCGCGTGTGTCGCTCGTCTGCGCTGTGTCGATCCAAAGGCGATGCTGTGGTAAAATGAAAAGGATCTTACGCAGTTGTTACGTTTGCAGCGACAGCGACAGTGACGACGACGTTCCGCTGTCGCTACTGCGAGCGAAAGCGGAGCCCAAAGCGGAAGTGGAAGCGGCTGCTGAGAAGGTGAAAGTGGAAGCGCCGACGCGTGGAGCGGACACGACGAAGCGGCAGACGGCGCCCGAGAGCGACAGTGACGATGACGTTCCGATCAGTGGATTGGTGAAGCGTCATAAACTGAAAGCGGAGACAGAAGTGAAGCAGGAGCAGGTGAGAGTGTCCACTGCTCGCTCGACAGCGCCTAAAAGCACGCCACGTAAAGGAAAGAAGAGAGTGATCCAGGTGAGAGCGACGCCAAGCTCGTTATGTGACAATAAGCATACGGTTTGCTGGTCTTTAATCCGCTTTGGTGTAGATTAAAATACGGCAACAAGAGTGTACGGAGGAGCTGTACGAGTCGCTGAAGGGCAGACTTGCACAAGAACTGCTGTGTCGCTGGTGGTATGCGATGGAGTGGCCACCCGTCAAGAAATTATCTTCTGTAGGTGACGGTAACTGGGGGAAGTACTGACACGTCGGTTGGCGTATCTGTCTGACACATGAGCTCGGGTTTGTTACACTTTTCATTAACTGCTTAGAAACTACATGGTGTTCAAGAGCTCGACGGGTTTCCTGGCGCGTATATTCGCGTGAAGGCAAGTGTTCTGGTATCTATAAGTAAAGGGGAGAGCGTCAAATGCTAACGGTGTGTGATACTTATGTCGGATGGTGCCATGTAGGGTGACGATCTGGGCTCAATTATCGATACCCGGTCATCGGTGGGGAAGCCGTCGCTCCTGCACTTCCTCGCCATGTCTTCTGAAGATTTACTAAAGTTGCTGCTGCGCGCATATGACAAGCAAATGGAAGTCTTGATCGAGCATGAGGTTCGTAGAGGAGAAAGTGTGTTTGATGTTGCTGTGAAAAAGATGTTGACGACTGTGTGCGTAAACAACGATACACATCAGGGCCCCAACACGCCGCTTCTAAAAGATCTGCAAAAGGCGCGTGCGTCGGCAGCCCGGATAAATGCAGCGAAGGCAGATCGAAGCATACGGGGGCTGCTGAAGAAATTTGCTGAGCTTGAGCGAGAGATCGAAGAGGTCGAAGCTCTTGCGCTCAAAGAAGAGAACGACGTATCAGATGAAGGAGAAGGAGACGACGATGGCGACACAGCGGATGATTAGAAAAGAGGTGCAGCAGGGTGAGTCATGGCACCTGTTGCTGGTAGCACACTTGAGGCAGTCTTTTGCCAGTGCGTTGCTATCAAAGCAGTAAGACGACATGGAGCGCAGCACTGACATTGTAGCGAAAACGAACGTTGGCGAAAAGTAGTGGTCCATTAACAAAAGTGCTTCGGTCAATGTCAAGCAGAACAAACGCCTTCAACTTGCAGACAGCAGTGGGTAGCACCCTCCAACCGGATGCACAAGCCCCAGGCAGTGAAGAGCCAAGGACGACTGCCAAGGTAGTGGCTCTACCATTTCCATTACCACGCCAGCTGCACCCTCGTCTACGGGTGCGTCGCTACTCGTTTGCATCTAACTCGCCGCGCTCGTTAGCTGTTCCTACTGCTGTTTGTCCTATTTCCAGTAAAGAGCTACTCGAGCTTTGCACGGAGCGAGGTGCGAAAGTAGTTATTGCCCACGCCGCCAATGCCAAAGGCAGGTCCGATGCGGCCGACACGAGCAAGCACAGACTTGACGTACTCGCGCTGTACAAAGCCCACGCGCTTGGCCATAGCGTGGCCCTTGTTGTTGTACAAGTCGAGACCCAATAGATGCAGTGGCGTGGACAAGAGCTGCACGGCTGCAGGGCAAAAGATCTGTGCGAAGGTCCCTGCTCCAGACTTGTCCATCAGACCGTTGTCCTCGATCTGCTTCGCCAGCACTTTGGGGGCATTGAACGACGCGGCGCACGTCATCGAGTCCCGCACGGCAAACAGACCGATGGACGACAGGGGAAACGCTGCGGGTGCAATGACGCCAAACATGCGCGCGAACGCGCGATCCTTTGCGATGCAGAGCGACATGTTGACCGCAGTGGTGCCAATGAATTTGGGCATCTGGTTGTCCGTCTCGACGTACTCGCAGACCGAGTCGACGGCGTTCGCCGCCACGTACGTGGCCGTGTAGAGGCCGAAGATGAGGTGGAACTCGCGCTTGCTCACGAAGCGCAGCGGGTGCTGGAGGAACGCGACGCTGAGCTCCTTGAGGCCGCGGCCCAGCGGTCGCGCGCCGCTGGCGTTCTCGATGATGGCGCGGTCCACGATCGTGATGAAGGGCGCGACGCCGAGCGAGGCGGCCATGGCAGCGGCTGTGTCGATCACGAGCTGCCGGGCGAGTTTGACAGGGCCCTGGGGCGGCCGGTCGTCGGCCGTCTGTGCGACGTCGGCCATGTGGGTAGCAGCTGAACGGCAAAGAGCGAGTGATTGGCGGGTGGGTCGACGGTGAAGTGGTTCGCTACGTACGACTCTGCGACGTGTGACGTGGCGGGAAGAGGGGCAGGAGGACCAACTCACGAGGCCCGACAGCCTTTGGCTCTGGCCGTCCGTTCCGTAGCACCACACAGTCGGACCCGCAGGTAACGTCGAGCGCTACTGTCCACTCTGTCTCTTTCTATCGTTTTTGGCCCATCTCTCTATCTGTGTGGGTGGGTGTGTTTATGGGTGTGTGAAAGCCTGGACGGCCGACGGGCGAAAAGCGCTGCAACATTGACATGACGACGTGACTCGATGGTGATGATCGAGAGAGGAACAGAGAGCCTATTACACGGTATTAATGAAAACAAGGCCTCTGGAATGCCCTAAGCCAGATTAGCAACGCCGGTGTCGAATTGCCCGGTGGTTGTACGTGACTCACCACATGATGTGATGCTCTAGAAGGCGCAGTGGTGTCATCGAGTAACTCAATGCACTGCCATAGCCAAATGCCTTGCACCCTGGATTGTAGCGTTCGGCGCTCTCTTGCCGAGAGCGCTCGTAATTGCCGAAGTCCGTTAGAGCAAAACTCGTGGACACTGCCCAGAAGTGAGAGTTGTCGCTGCTCGTGAACAGCCCGACGGCGCTGTATCCAAAGAGTCGAGACACAGACGGAACAGAGGATCCACCATATGCGCTTCCACTGAGCAATATATTCCTCCACAGTATCACCAAAGGCCCGCTGCAGCCGTTGTAACAGTGTCCTAGACAGAGGCGGCGGCTGTCGTGCTAAGCAGTTCCCCGCATACTGACTCACGTCATTCAGCCGCACATCGGACCCAAATTACGAGGACAGGACCGCCTGCCAGCATCCCTGGGCCACCGGACAGTAGCAGAAAATGTGCTCCAGTGTCTCTTTGTGACCGGCGCAGACGGTCAGCCTGCGGCAACTGGTGTCGAGTTCCCTGCCCGGGAAGAATAAATTGGGCTGTTGAAGTACCAGACGGCAATAGACCCACACTTGATACTCCGTTATCGCATTTTGGGGGCCCCACAGCTGCTTCGGTGTTTGATGAAGAACCGCTGAGTGCCAGTCACCCCGGGCTGCACAGGTTTGTAACTTTTGGAGCAGACCTTCTAATGCCTTGCCGAGCCCCGTCTTCGCCTTGCAGTACGGCTGGCGCTTAAGGTATCGCAATACGTGCCGATTCGCCACGTTCGGTGAGGCATCCCACGAAAAGCTGTGGGTCGACGGATGAGCATCCAAGACCAGAACGAGAGACCGTTGCGAGCTCCGGAGGACGGCCACATCGTGGCCATACTCCGGAGGTATGATATCGGAGTCGTCGACTGTCCAATTAATTTCGTCGGCCTCCTGCTTGAGCACGATTCCCCGTGAGGACATACCCGGCGGCGTACGTGCCACACCTCGGACTGCTCCAGGTCCGTCCAGCACCCAGTCGTACGATAGCCGGAGTTTCGGGGGGGGGGGGTCGTAGAGTCACAGTGGGTAGAACCTCGAATGTCCGGCCTATAGCCAACGAAGGACTACCCATCAAAATTGCCAAAGCCCAGCGCCCAAGTTTGCGGTCCGTGTGGTGCTTGGCCGCCCCCTCAGCCAACAGGACGTGACAAATGTATGCTGTTGGGACGCTTCGCTCAAACGCAAGTTCTTCCAGCGAGCACGGCCGGATGCGGTCGTATTTCGTCCTCAACAACCGATGACCGGTACCATCGCAGAGCCATGGGTTGTCTGCCCACGAATATGTAGGCCAACACCGGCAGGTCACGGCCGTTATCTCCCAGGTAAGGGCAGGAAGCGGCTCCGCTAATTAAATCGTTAGCCGGTCGCCGTCCCGCCAGCACGTGATCTGTGAGAATAGCCTTTGCATTTGTCGACGATGACGAATTTGTATGGCTTCATGCTCCATATCCGACGGTCGAAGCCAAGCACAAATATCTGCCCGCAACCTAGCACCACGTATCTTGCTCTGTTGACTGCTAGAATGAAGAGGGTTAAGTGGTGTGATCGCGATAGAGGCGTCAAACCGAGCATCTCGAAACGTCCGAAATTTCCACGCCGCCCCGTACCTGTCTCGCCTCTGGGTGAGCCAGAGAAGAGCGTGTTTCATCCGCTGCGTTTGAACAGCCACTGCTATCGTTACCAAGCCGACACTGTAACGGGGCAGCCCGTTACATGGAAATTGTCATTTGAAGAGATAATGACAATAAAGAATATTACGTTGAATATTATTTTAACAATATCACCAATAGTGGTGATATTGATGGGTCGACCAAAGAGTCTGCTCATTGGTTGATATCTTGACGATATCAACCCACCAATCGCCGCAAGACGCGCGCAATGAGTGGTGAGCAGACGTCGTCATACATTCAGTTAGATTAGTATAATTAATTTAAGTCAAACAGAGAGACAGTGGTTAAAAGACTTAAATATATTAATATAACTGTTCTACTTTTCCCTAAGACAGTGTTGCCTCTGTCTTACCTACCGCTTCCTCGGTTGCCTCGTGTACGCTTGTCGGTGCACGATACCCTTGCGTTAAGTTCACGCAAGGGTGTGCCCCGTTACACCTGGTAGCACTTTGTAGTCCTTCCAGCGACCACCTCCACATCATCCACCATGAACATGTTGGATGATGAGGAGAACTTTCACGCCATGCGTGAGGGGTGTAACTATTTGAGTGACATCGAATGGAGTGCGGTAGAACGCATGAGTTCTACCGTAGGCGAGGTCGCTATTAGCGCCATGTTGGAGTCTCTCAACAGAGACCAACAACATGCCGCCATAGCCAAGTTCATTCAATTAAACTTGCCATCGAGAGGGAGAAAGTAGCCTTGCTTCACCAGCAAGGCTCTTAACAGGCCGAGCAGTTGAGAGAACTCGGTGCTCAACAGACAGAGCTGTTGAGACAGCAGCAATTCCATGCTGCTGTGGGCAGGACGACACATTCGCGTCGTCCCGAGGTCATGAAGGTTGACATATCAAAGTACAGAGGAGTCCCTGAGGACTCTGTGTTATTGTGGTTCGTCGAACTCGACAGAGACTTGAAGGCACGTCTTGTCGACGATGAGGAAATGAAACTTGCATTTGCTCAAACCCACTTGGCAGGACGTGCCAAAACTTGGGCCTTAGGGCTCGAGAGTAGCGACCCAAATGTGTTTAGGTCGCTAGATGACTTCAAGGCCCGGCTCAGACAAACGTTTGAGCCGCCACGCGCTGAGTTCAGATCTCGTTCAGAGCTACTGAAACTCAAGCAGGGTAAGCGTGATGTGCACGCTTACGCCCAACATATACGACTCCTTGCGATTAGTATAACTGCCAACCCGGTAAATGAACACACGTTGATTACGGTGTTCATGCAAGGGCTCGCAGAAGGGCCCGTCAGGAGCCACCTGTTCCGCCTAGAGCTAAATACGCTTGAAGAAGCGAAATCAGTCGCGGAACAGGAAGACTTTAGCATGAGACAGGCTCATGCTAGCTCAAACTCTTATCGTCCACCGAGACGACAAGAGATCGGAGGTCCAGAACCAATGGACCTCTGCTATGTTGAGAGCGAGAGACCTCGCTCTTCGAACAACAAGCGATTCCAGAGGTGCAATTGCTGTCAGATGTTAGGGCACTACGCATATGAGTGTAGTGCTCCACGCCCAGTACCAAACAGTACTGAGCGAAATGGACGACCATTTGCCAGAAAGGGCAATGGGCGTGGGTCCAGCGCTGTTGCGAAACCGCAACAGCGAGACGGACCATCAAAAAATGGTCGGGGTCAGTAGGGGCGGAGCGCCCTACTGATCCAGCAACCTCAAGAGAATTTGCAAATCTCTTGACGAAAGTTGCTCCAGATACACAATCATTGTGTGTCTCTGCACCTGGTAATGACGTTTCGCTCATCACCTTGAAGTTGGAAGCGACAAATGATTTGTCACTTCGTGCCCTAGTAGACTGTGGGGCGTCGAACAACTTTGTTCGACGCCAGTCACTAGAGGGTCGTAGGCTCAAGTTCGTTGAGCGCGACATTCCCCTCACGAGGATGACGGTGCGCCTTGCAACAGGCGCATCGATTACCGTTGAGAAACGTGTAGTAGGAATCCACTACACGTTAGAGGGCGAACAGTACGATGATGACTTCATCGTATTGGATCTGGATGACAAATTTGATGTCATCCTGGGATTACCTTGGCTCAGAAGGTACGAGCCAAGAGTGAGCTGGCAGCATCGATCCGTGAAGATGCCTGCCGCTTGTTCATCAGATGGCCATCTGATGAACATCTTGGAGCGTCCACAAGCGTGTAAATGTACTGCGAGTGAGTGCGATGGCCTCACTTGCGGTACGGTCGTTAGCACGACTGCACAAGGTCACAGTGTAGTTGATCACTACACTGTGGGGCAAGCTCCCAGCGGCTGTACACAAGTACAGGCTGCGCCGAAGGTCCACCACTCGAAGAAGTCGAGTGGACCGGGACATGGATGCATGCCTAGCGGGCAGCATCTTAGACAAAATAAACCTGTTGCCTTCAAAGGGCAACATGGACATCCTAGGTCGACTGGAGAGTCGAACGTAGAGGATCGGTGCCTGACTGTGGTTGCACAGTCACAGTCAGAAGACGTCGAGGGAATAATTCCCCACGTGCTTGAGGAAGGAATTCCTCAAGAGTCGCTTGTTGAAGGATCAGGCCCTCAGCAACCTGTGGAAGCAAGTTACCAGGAAGAAATCGAGACGTTGAACGTCTTGGTCAATGACGGATCAAGTGTAGGCGCTTATACACTTGATCTGATTGTGCCTCCGAAGTTGACTTCGGAGATAACTCAGTTGCCAACGCTAGAACCGAAACGGTTCTTGCGTGATCTGCGTGGTGGCAAAGTCAAGCAGATCTGCATACTCGTCACAGAGGATGAGTATGTGGCCGATATTCGGTCGGCCACAGTATTTGCTGAGAACGAACGGGTTCTCAGCAGC